TAATTGTATGCTTTAATTTAAATAAATTTCACCTGACATGCCTATCTATCCATCTCTGTCGGAGCCATTACACCCTCTGCAACAACAGACTGTCTTCCTCGATGTATACTTCGTACACCCCTCAGCTTACCCCTTGGACTCGGACGGGCGGTAAGCTGTCTTCCAAATTGATTGTCGTGGAGCTGTTCGAGCAGGTGCCCAGAGTATGAGGCTATGCAAATCGCTGTCGACATGGAAAAATGATCGAAATCCTTGGGAAATCAAATTCAAATTCCGATTGTAATGCACGCCATGTCAGGGCAGAGCTAGGGCAGCCAGGGAACCAAAACCAGACCAAGGGCCACAGTTCCATCTTCTATTGGAGCCGATGGCTGCCCACGGCCAGCTAGGCTCACGGATTGCCCCAAGTGTTGCCAATTAAGTAGTGGCTCTTGCCCTCCCCCCGCCCCAAAGGCGGTGCTGAGGGTGGATTGTGGGGGACTCTCTTGTTGCTATACCTTAACTTTAAGAAACGGCATTGCACTCGGCTCACGTTCTCCCCCGCCCAACAAGTGGGTCGCTCGGTCGGTCGGCGAGAGTGGGGGCGTAGTAAACGAAGTCGCCCGAATGAGCGAGAGTGCCAGGGAAAAACGAATGAAGCGTGTGGCAGGAAAAAGTGAATGAGTTTTCCTCCGCTTGCATTGTGTGACTGTGTGCCTGTGTGCCTGTGTGGCTGTCTGGCTGTGTGTGTGCCACTGCGCATTCTCTCTGCGCTCCTCACTCTCTCTGTGTACTCGCACTCGGCTGGTTGTTGCTGCTTTTCGGGGTGGCCCAAAGGATCATCGACACAAAACTGACCTAATTTCAGAAATTCAAGCTAGGCGCAGGGCTGGCGCTGCCAGGGGGCCGAACGCTCTTAGTGGGTCACTGTGGGTGGCGGGCGACTCCCCAACGTCTCCCTTCTCCATTATGGCCTGACTTGGGCTCAGCTGCTTGAGGCCTAAGCAAAAGCAGCAGTCACAACAGCAAACACAAATTGCAGCCAGCCCTTGTGTGCTGCCATTTTGACTTGTGTGTGTGTGTTGAGGGGGGTAGTGGATTGTATATGTGTGGGAGCATTTTTTTTTTGACTACTCCCCCAAACATTCCAATTCGCCTTCGACAAGCAGCTGAAAGACATTTCAAAGCAAAAGAAAAGCGTGTGGCGTGTGGGTAGGCTAAGAGTTCTATAGGTGCTCTCGGAGTGTCTCGGATGTTTGGCATATTTGCACATCGAACATTGCACGTTGCACCGCCACACCCCGAACTGGTTGCTAGGATGTTCGCCATTCTGCCCCCCGCCAACCAACAAAGTGAATTATATGAAATCAAAATGCAGCCGTCAAAGAGGATGCCGACTACGACGCGAACGGTGGCCATCGCCACAGGCAGTGGCAGTGGCAGAGGCAGAGGCACAGGCAGAGCCATTATCTAAGCACACCTTCAAGCCTCAGAACTGCAGTGGAAGGTTGTTTGCATTCAAGGCTCTTTGCGGCTGGATGAATTGACCTAAATATTTCGCTTGGCAAACCTGATAGTCAGGGTTATCCACACACACACACACACACACACACACAGATACACACACACTCGTGGTGTGTGTGCTTGTTGGTACCTGCACGGGGTTCGGCCTGTACTGGTTGAGGGCTGTTGTAGGGGTTGAGTTGGGGGTTTTGGAATGTGTGGGGGGGCGCTGGCAGGGCAGGTCGGGGCCCTTATTTATGTGTGCTTCGAAATCCAATAAAATGCGAAATGAATTGATTTCAGCGAGCGAGCGAGCGAGCCCCATCCGCCTTGAGACGAAGGATATCCTTGCAGTGTCCTAAATGGGGCTTTATGGCCATTGTTGTGCCGTCTTATCAATGCGAAATCGTTGTCATTAAGTCCTTTGTGGATCCGCAGCACGTTCTCCTCAGGTTTTTTGAAGTCACGTTGCCACTGCCAGTTTGTTCATTAAATTGGCAGCGAGATTTGTGCCGATAGAACGCGGCGGCGGCGGCTGCGGCGGCGGCGGCTGCGGAAAGACGAAGCTGATGAAGTCATTTTTCAGCTGTTTGCGCCTGACGCCTGATTGTATTTTAATTTAGTCGCTACGTGATGATGGCCATGCCCAGATCTCACCTCCCCCATTCACCATTCTCCCGAGTCGCTCTCGTGTCTCCGGCACAGGCTGGCGCCATTCCTGCGGTATTCAATTTGCCATCGTGTAGTTACAGGAGTCGCTGCAGGACGTGACGCTCAAGTGATAATCATAACAATAACGCATTTGTCTCAAGTGTTATGCCTCTTCAATGGCCATTCCACGCCCATACCAATCGAACCAATGCCCCTCCCATATACAGACTCAGAGCCAGAGCCAGACCGTGTCACAACCCCCGTGACCCGTTGGCGGATTTGTTACGCCTGATTATTTCATTAACTTTATGAGCGTACGCGGGTAACCACAACCTTGATAGAAACAAAATTGTCGCCCCTGGAGGGAGGTTTGGAAATGCAAAAGAAAAATCCAATCCACTTTGCCTATGCGTAACGTAACGACAAAGAAAAGTTTTCCAGTAAAGGGACACTGAAGAAAAAAGAAAAAACTAAAAGGCTTAGGCAGGGCGCGCTTGACATTTTCCAGGGCCAGGCTCTCTCCTCACCGCAGCACACAATTGAAGGCTGCTGATAAGCTCAAATATCGATTTGGTACTCGTATTATCTCTTGCAGTTGAGTTGATCAATATTGAGCACCAGCTTATGCTTACAAATGGCGAAGATGCTGAGGCTGCTGCTGCGTCTGTTGGCCATATGTCGCCCTGCCCTGTCAAAACACACTCAGCCCCAGCCAGTCAGCCACTCATGCCTCTTACCTCTTACCTCTTACCTTGACAGTATGTACCGCAGCTTAGGACTTAAGAAGCTCTGAAGATACTGCTTGTTTAGCCTTCAAAGCGCTAAAACTGATAAGGGGAACAGCGAGTTTGAGGGTCGGATATTCACGCGATTCGATTTGAGTTGTTTCTGATGTTTGCACAAGAAAGGAGTTCTGATCTGCAATTTTGGATAACAGGTTTTATGTACACTTTGTTACAAATATTCAGCAACCAATTCCATGATGTCTGGATAAAACCCATGTTTGTCTTTGCGATATTAAAAGTCAGTTGACTGTTTTGAAACTAAATCCATGTTTGTGTTGTGCGGAAAACTTTAAGCCAGAAAAAACCAACTAAGGCACGTTTGCATTCTTTAATTAAATGCCAAAACGCCATGGAATGGCTTTCCTTTTCTTCTTTTTGCGTGAATACAAACTTTGAAATGTAAGCAATGTGTTTAGCCGTTCACATGATTGAATATAATGGAGCATTTCCGAACTGAATTTGAATTGAAAACTCTTTTTTAAGCCACTCTCTGCTGTCGGTTTAATGGACGAAAAGTTTGGCCAGGCATCAGACAGCCATATATCAAAGTTTACCCCTATCAGCATAATATCTCAAATAAGTAGGGGCGTGCTAGTATACTCGCCTTAATAGCTTCGGTTTCAGTCTGTTGCACTTGCAACACAGGAGAGTTCTCCCTTCCACTCCTGTTCAACGCAAGCAATTTGAAATCGAACGAATAAACCCGAAAAGAAACCCATTTGAGTTGCTGTCTCCTCGTGTATGGTACTGTTGATTGTTTGTGTCCGATGTTCATGTCCTGTACACACAAAACCCACATGATGCTGCCCAGAACCTGTCCATTCGACTCTCAAGCCAATGCACAGAAGTTCACAGCCACAAAGCCAAATAATATTTATATTTTTATGTGCCAAATCATATTAAATTTGGCTTTTATTGGGCTGCCCGGAGAGCGGGTGGTTGCCCGGTGCGTATGCATAATAAAAAGCGACAACAAATCGAGATAAGACAGGCGAACGAGACAGGAAATTAGAAGCCCCAACAGCAGCCAGAGACGCCTGAGAAGGCGTCTCCTGCGACGAGCATTGAACTCCATGGTTCGCGGGGCGGGACGGGAGTCCTGACACTTTGCCTCGTGCTAATGATGTGTGGGCTGTTGGTTGGTTAATTGCCATTCGATCTGTCATACTCGGAGCACTGTTCGACTGTCATCAACCTTGACAAACTTTGCCACAGGTCCTGCCAGCATACTGGAGTCCTGGTGCTGGTGCTGGTGCTGGTGCTGGTGCTGGTGTCCTATCATGCCCCCGGCCATGTGTGTTTTATAACCTTTTGTGTCTGAGTGAGTTATTCCTTTTAGCATAAAATTCATAACGCACAACTATGCGATTGCTATGTGCGTACGGGGATGGCGCATCAGTCTCGTGCCTTCTTCCATCAAATAGAATAAAAGGAATACAAATTAACTTAGGCATGTGCGGTCTGGTCGTGGTCGTGGTCTTGGTGCTGGTCCTGGTCCTGGTCCTGGCTCTTGTACTGATTGTGGTGCTGTTTGTGGCTGAGCAAACAATAGTGCCCGTTCTCCATCACCGCTCCGACTCTGCCGCTGCCGCTGGCTGGTCGCAATCTGAGCCTTGTCACCAAATTATGAATGATATTCAGCACATAAATCTCAGTCAGCAAACAACGGCGGAGACGTGGGCGGCTGGCGATGCCAAGAAGCATTGAACGTTCACCAAGTCCATGAGCATAAGACAAGAGATAGGACAATCAGGACAACGACTAGGACAACAATGCACAGGACAGGACAGGACAGGACAGCAGCAGGACAGCGATGTGACCGAAAGTTACTCAGCATAATTTGTACATTGTTTATGGCCAATATTTACCCGCTCTCTCACTCTCTACCTTCTCTTCTCTCCTTTCTTTTCTGCTCTTTTAAACATATTTTTCAGCGTGGATGCTCGGGTGGCTGATGTGCAAGTTTGTGCCCTACATACAGGGTGTCTCGGTGGCGGCATCGGTTTACAGTCTAATTGCCGTGTCCCTCGACAGGTAAGTTTGCAACGCGATGCGTTCAAAAGTTGAAAACACTCTCCTCAATTACGTGGCTGTGAACTTTTATTGGGGGATAATCTTGGCTGTTGGGTGGGGGTGGGCCAGGAGTGGGCGTGGATGGGGATGGGCTGTGGGCTGTGGGCAAAGGTTCAGGGGCAGTTGGGTGCAGTTAATGATGCACGACCAGAGCGGGTGCGGCATGGTGCACGGGCACTAGTGGCACCAGCGGCTTGATGGCATGCACAGCCACCACAGGCTTAGCGACAATCGGGGTGACGACCTTCACGGATGCCGGATGGTGCACGACGTGTCTATGGAAGAGAGGGAAGCGAGGAGGGTACAGGCGGATGGATGTGTCAGTGTCAGTCAGCCAGTTAGGGCGATAAGCAGATTGAAAATTAATTGCGTTCCGTTCAACTTACGAGTGCACCGAGTGGGCGCCATGATGGATGATGGGCGAGTGCACCACAGCGGGATGCGCCACAACGGGGTGCGCCACAACGGGATGCACGGCCACGACGCCGGGATAGGCGTGAACCTGAGCAGCAGCGAGGGCGGCAAGCACAAACAGCTGTTCGAAGTGGGTTCAAAGTTCACAGATTAGCAGCAACAGTGGATCCATCAGAGCTACTTACAATTTTGAACATTTTGATGGGCTGGGAATGTGCAGGAGATAAGTAGAAGTTGGGCTAATGATTTGCTAGTTGCAACTGGTGACAAGTGCAACATCGAGCGCAGCTTTTATAGGAACCGCAGTCCGATCCGAAAAGTGAGTGCCGGCGCGTCGCTCAATGCAAGCAGCAATGCTGCACCTGGGGAAAACTGGTCATGCCAGACAGACAGACAGATGGACAGACAGATAGACATTCAGGCAGTGGGGCACAGGCAGCTAGCAGTCTGTGGGTCGCTCGTTTTGTCTCAAGATCAAGTTCATCACAGTTTGCCTTGTCCGTATTAGGCGCTGTGCGATAATCAAATTCATGTTTCAAATTCAATACGAGAATGCCTTAGAATGTTGTTTTCACTTCAGTTTTTCCCTTGCCTGGACGAGTGGTAATGATTCTTTGATGAGATGCCGCCAGGAATCAAAATGTCAGCCCTGGGCTTCCTGGCTGCCTGTCCCCATAAATGTCCCGCGACAAGATTATTGATGCCCATAAAGTCAGAAATGTCGCGGCCAGCTGATTTATCAAGTGATACTAAAACGCTTTGACGTGTGCCAGTCATAACCCCAAGGACAATAACAGACCAACATAACCAAGTGCCCGTCTTGCTTTATGTGCACTTTCATTTATATCAATTTTCCAACGAGCGCATCAACCAGCATCGGAATCGGAGTCAGAATCAGAGCAAAAGAGCCCGGGGGGCAGCACCCCAGCAACGTCACCCCTCTTTAGCTTCAGCTTCATCTTCTTTTTCTATTCGCATTCTGCTTATGTTTTTGTGGCACCAAAGACGACCACAACAGTACATCATTCGATCGTTTGGTCAGGCCCCCAGCTCCCCCCGAGACAGGCCATGCCGAAGTCCGTTTGTGTCTGGCCGCATCCTGTTTTCTGCTGTTTTCTCTGTGTCCATCCGCTGCTTTGTATTTTTACGAGCACTCGTAAACTGAATCGAAATTTAAGATTTATTATCTGTAACAAGAAACTTAAATCTGCTCTCAGCTGTCTTAGCCACGGACTTAAGTGCTCAGTGCTTCCCATGATTCCGAGTCTTTATTTGGGGATAGTAGAACTGTAGCTTATAACTTATAACTTATACCAATGCCATTTAATTAGGGTCGTTAGTTTCCAGAGAGCGTACAGGGATCTGCCCCATCATCCACGTACATTCCTATGTTTGTATTTATTCATAAAAGCCATATATCATAGCGCATTCGTCCTCATAGTTGTGGCTTTTATGGCACTGACAGTGACACTGTGGGTCTTTAGCCCTCTGTGTGTGGGTGTCTTTGAAAATGTCAGGAGTGCGTAGGAGCCAGAGCTAGAGCCTGGGATAACCGTCATAAAACCACGCAGGGCATGGCCGTGGATGGCAGCATGTAGCCAATTATTAAATTTGTAGCTGCTCGTAAGCTCCTCACATGAATATGCAAATTACTTATCCCCGTACTTTTTACTAAGGGAAAGTACTCCATGGTCCCCATGTAGCAACCGCAGGCCACTGCGGGATATTCAAATCCAAGAAATTTGTATCATAATTCAGGCAACGTCACCGCATCTTTCATCACATGGTAATCCCGCAGAGATTTGCACAAATGCGTACTGCACTCAGCGAAATGAATGGAGCACAAATTAGCATGATTGTCGCAATCATTTTATCACCATCCATGGGGAAAAGTGTCCTCAAATAAATGGGAATATTCCAACTCATTGATTTTGATATATTTTAGAATTTATTCAACAAAGTCTTAAGGTCTTAGAAGGGTATTTTCATTCCAATATGAATTTCCAAATCTTAAGTCAATTTTTTCCAAGTAAAATTGCTTATTCCGAAAATCTCAATTAGACCGTTGTCTGATTTATGGCCATGGACAAATTATGCTAATGCAAGTGGTTGCCTCCAATAAATAAACGTTATGACAATTTGATATTGGCCACTGCTGCAGGCAGCTTTGTCTTTGTTCCCCTCCCATCTGCCCCAGCCACAGGCGGATTGTGAGTCCAGTACTTTACTTTGTTGGCTATTTTTAGAGAAAGATTCCATGCTGGTTGGGGCTGTCCAATAATGAAATTACCGTTGTGTTATCTGCCAAATGTTTTGGCCAGGCGACGACCCAAAGCCGTACAAACACCAAAATACGAGCACAATGCACGGCATGAGGACTGGCCCATAATTACATGGTTTGGTCAGGACGAGGAGACTCCCCGGGCACCCAGACCCAGACTCAGTGTCAGACTAAAGCAAGTCTTGTCTATGACTATTGAACGGGCGCCATACAATGAGCCGGACTGCACTAAGCTAAATGAAAAATGCTGAAATCTCCTGAGTTCTCCTTCGCCTGCCATACCATGTCAGCGACATCGGCGTCAGCGTCCCTTGTTCTCTACCTCTGCGTCAGCCTCTCACAGCTCTTATTCAAATTACAATTCATTATGGCAAGCAAAATAAAAAATGACACCCCCTACCCAAAATAGACGAGCACTCGTACTGGCATTCGCTGCTGGCATTTTTGAAAGTGAGTGGCGACTGAGAGTTCAATAGACGAGATTGGAAAGCGAATACTCAGCAGAAAAAGGCTTAGGGATGCCAGCGCAGTGCTTGATGGCAGGAGGCGGCATCCTGCGTGTGCAAATTAATCAGTGGGAGATATTTGCATGCCAAGCCTTGTTGAAACGGTGTCGTCATCGTCGCCTCGACAGCTTGATGATTGCCATTATACTTGACGGCTCCGTCTTCGTCTCAGCATCTGGAGCTGGTAAACATTCTTTGTGTGGTGCACTCTCGTTGCAGGTTCATTGCCATCTGGTGGCCGCTGAAGCAGATGACAAAGCGACGTGCGCGTATCATGATAATCGGCATATGGTTAATCGCACTGGTAACCACCATACCCTGGCTGCTCTTCTTCGATCTTGTGCCGGCCGAGGAGGTGTTCTCGGATGCTCTGGTCTCGGCCTACACGCAGCCGCAGTACCTGTGCCAGGAGGTCTGGCCGCCCGGCACCGATGGCAATCTGTATTTCCTGCTGGCCAATCTGGTGGCCTGCTATCTGCTGCCCATGTCGCTGATAACTCTCTGCTATGTGCTCATCTGGATCAAGGTGTCGACGCGCTCGATACCGGGCGAGTCGAAGGATGCGCAGATGGATCGCATGCAGCAGAAGAGCAAGGTCAAGGTGATCAAGATGCTGGTGGCGGTGGTCATACTGTTTGTTCTCTCCTGGCTGCCGCTCTACGTAATCTTTGCGCGCATCAAGTTCGGCTCGGACATATCGCAGGAGGAGTTCGAGGTGCTCAAGAAGGTGATGCCACTGGCCCAGTGGCTGGGCTCATCCAACAGCTGCATCAATCCCATCCTCTACTCGGTGAACAAGAAGTACAGGCGAGGATTTGCGGCCATCATTAAGTCGCGCAGCTGTTGCGGCCGCCTCAGGTGGGCCACTCACTCTCTCTCTCTCTCTCTGTCTCAGCCATCCTGCTAATGCTCCTCTGTTTACTCGCAGATACTATGACAACGTGGCCATTGCCTCGTCCACCACCAGCACGCGCAAGTCGTCACATTACCACCAGAACAGCTCGAGGAAGAGTCCCAGCAGCAAGGGCAATGCCGTCTCCTACATCTACGAGCACAACTCGCTGCGGCGCCACAACATGATGCTGAAGCAGGACAGCAATCTGTCACAGCAGATGCTGCTCAAGCAGGACTCGCACGGCTCCCGGCAGTTCCTGATCAAGCAGGAGAGCTCCTGCAGCGATGCCTCCGGCATACGGCGTCCGTTGTGCCAGCAGGACAGCAATGGCTCCAAGATCTCGCTCTCCAAGCAGGACTCGATTGTCTCCTACATGGAGTCGCGTCGCGCTCCCGCTCTCGGTCTGAGCGACTCGCTGGCGGACAGAGACAGCGTCTCCATGGAGTCACGTCGTGCCGGAGGTATCATGGCGAATGCCACGCCGGGATCCCTGCTGGACAAGCGACAGAAGTTTGTCAAACAGGATTCGGTCATCTCGTTTGTGGATCAGCGACCAGAGCCACGACGTCATCAGCTGGTCAAGCAGGATTCGGTTATTTCGTTCGCCGATCAGCGTCGGGGTTTGCTCCACAAACAGGATTCCCTGAATCGAGCCAGCGATGCACCCACTCATCATGTGTCCATACTGAAGAAGACAGACTCGCAGCTTAGCTATGGGTCATCTTCGTCAGCATCCGCCGCCTCACCACGCCGTAGTGCGGATCTGTACGAGTAGGAAGCCCCACAATCCTCTTGCCATTCCCCCAAGACATAATTAGCTACGAATCACTTGCATAGAACAAACTCCACAACATACGTATACATATTATATATAGGAAACGTATAATTGATTGTCTCATTCCTATGGCAGCTACAAACATACGAGTTATGATATGCTATGACGATCCAAATCCCTGGTATCTCTGACTTATTTACTGTCCCCATTGCTAAATTACAGCCAGAAATGTCGCCACAACTGAGGGACTTGAATGAGACCAACAGACAGACAGAAAGGCAGACAGACGGAGTGGTACGGTGGTTATCTTCTATTATTCGAATGATTTTATGGAACTGTGATAGAAGTTGGCAGTGCTGGTGGTCTGAAAAGTGCCAGACTTATCCGTCATGCCATCGTCGTTGTTGTTGTTGTCATCTCCGTCGTGTATAGGTAGCCAGATCTACATAGGAATAGCGAATGGGAATGGGAATGGGAATGGGGATGGACCAATGCGATAGGGGGTGGGTAATCTAATCAAAGATCAGTTAGTTAGACACAACAACACTCCACACTCTGCAAATAGAAAACTCCCGAATCGACAGGTGGCCCAGACACACATAGAAATAGATGTTTTATACGTGTTTCGAATGGTACATACATGCTACAGACACAAACATAAACAAAAGACAAGATATAAAACTACTCCTTGGCTATGGCTATATAATATCTACAATATATATGTACCGTTACGCAGTTTTAAGATTGTTTGTACTCGCCATTTGCTATGTATCGAAGAAGATGAAGAAGTGTCGGAGGAACGGAACGGAATCAAACGGAAGGTACGATGGGAAAGGGAAAGGGAAAGGGAAAGGAAAGACCTTCAAATAGCTTTGCTAAAACTTTTTGTACGACAGCGAGAGTGAAACGGAACGGGGCAAAAGTAAGTCCAGTATCATATTTGAGAGAAGATAAGTGTAACAAAAAACAAAAGAGAACAAAACAAAATGAGATAACACCGAGGTCTAAAGTAACGTACCTACTAAATTTTTGTATGGAAATTCTTACAATTTATACATATATATTTATATTGATTTTGGAATAAGCAATATGCAATGTGCAATGTGCAATGCATGGGTATGGTATGGTCTATGCCTACACTGTGTATCTATCAAACAACAATAATCAATTTTATTAGAATTTTACACGAAACCAAACCAAAAGCAAACCAAAAGCAAACCAAAAGCAAACCAAAAGCAAACCGAGTCACAGCAGCAACGCAAATGATGGTGGCAAATGGTTAGTAAACGCAATACAACGGAAGAAAGGAAGGAGGATGAATGGAAGGAGGATGGATGGAGGAATGGGCACGATGCCACTACTTGTACAACGGAAGCAGTAGGTAGGCCGTTAGCTTAGATATCGTTGGGCAGTGGGTGGAACAGTGTACACATCGAACAGCGCACAAAGTACGTAGCACACTTGACGACCGTGCTGCCATGCTGAGGGAGATGAAGATGATGTTAGTTTTTGCGGCACAGGCGCGACGGGGTGGGGTAGATTAGGGATAGCGCTAGATTAGATCTAGAATGGGGGTAGGCCGCGTTGGATTTCGAATTTCTGACCGACCGACCGACCGACCGACCGCACAGTGGGAGCACAAAGCAGTCAAAGATTTCGCACTAAAACGTATCACTACAAAAAACTAACAAAGAAACCAAGAAGCAAACAATAATCGAACTCAAATTCGTTAAACACCAAACAAACACCAAAGAACTTTAAACTACGAGTATATAAATAATGAAACCTTTTAACAAGTACGAGTAACTACGGAGGAATCAATGGTATAACTATGAAACTAAACATAATGATAATGATAAACTATGCAATTTTATTGTTAGCCAAAATTTTATAAATGTCAAGTAACGAACAAGTAAAATATTTATATGTACTCGTATACAGAATATATCAAGTATAAAACATATGTATGTTATATATATATATCTTTATATACTTCGATGGTATTAGGCGCTGTTTTGTAGAGTTTTGTCACGCTTCAACAATGCTATTCCATCAACATTTTTGATTTTGGGAAGCTTCAAGCAAATCCCATTCCATTCCATCCCAACCAATCCCAAAAAAAAATCAAAATCGAACAAAGCACTATGATGGCCACTACAAAACTCGGCCAGCGCTTAATGCAAGTCAAGATCTACAAAGAAGAATATCAATAATATATTACAAATATACAAACATTTATATAGATTTAATAACGCATATACTCGAGCTCGTACCAGCAGTAAATGCTGTCCCCAAAAACAACAGAACAGAAAAGAAAAGAAAAGAACAGAACACCAAAAATATTAAGCTAAAGATTACATTTATATAACGAGCTATCTAGCAACAAATTTGTTGTGCGAGCAACAAAACTATATGCAAACCCCCAATATTTATACGTATGCAAGTATGTAAAGGAGCGCAATAGAAATGCAAATGTCCTTTCCCGCTTTTACTCAGCCACGCAAAGATGAACGTGAAACGTAACGTGAAAGTAATGAAATATGTGGATAAAGCAAAAGTATATTTATCGAAAAAACCAAATTGGATTTTAGGTTTAAAGTTTTAACAAACGTAGAGCATACTCATACCTTCATACACACACATACCATAATACATTATATGTGCATTATGTTCGTTATATACCGATATGGAAAATAGAAAAACAAAAACACCAAATCTGCGCGTTAACAGGTTCAAGATTAACAATATCAATATATGTAAATGTATGTGTTTATGGATACATATATGTATATCTACCGCCTACAACCAACACCAAAAAACATACATGTTAGCAGAAATAATACAAATAAATAAATATAATAATAAAATAAACCCTCAGCTCGTTTCGATTTCGATAGAAATTCCATTTCATAGAAACCGTTGCATCAGCTGATCATGGATCGGTATATAAGTAAAAATACCATGCAGCTATGACTATTTTTAGGATATGTATATACATACATACACATCTACAATGTACGTGTTCGTTTCACTGGATCATACAATTTTCAGTAAATAAGATGAACCGCTGGCTAAATCGCGTTGCTGTTGTAACTGGTGCTAGTTCCGGGATTGGGGCAGCATGCTGCAAAGATCTGGTGTCCAAAGGAATGATCGTCGTAGGATTGGCGCGACGTGAGCATCGACTGCAGGAGCTAAAGTCGTCTCTGCCCGACGATCAAGGGGCGCGTTTTCATGGTCGCCAGTGCGATGTCAGTGTGGAACAGCAGGTAATTGATGCCTTTGCTTGGATCGAGCTGACTTTGGGCGGGGCCGACGTATTGATTAACAATGCCGGCATAGTGCGACGCACCAACATCACCGATGAGGGCAACACGGACGCTCTGCGCGCCATATTGGAGAAAAGTGAACGATGGCCATGTGGTGCTAATCAATAGCCTGGCCGGGCATATAGTGCCAATGGTGGCGGGGATTCAATTCAATATGTATGCGCCCTCAAAGCATGCCATAACTGCCTTAACCGAAGTCCTGCGACAGGAGTTCCTCAACAAAGGAACCAAGACAAAGATTACGGTGAGTTGTTCTTTTTTCGTGTGTTCCCTCTAACTGTTGCTTTCCTATAATCTCCAGAGCATCAGTCCCGGCGTTGTGGACACCGAAATCTTCGACAAGAATTCCGCGGAGCTGGCCAAGACCATGCCAATGCTGCGTGCCGAAGACGTGGCCGATGCAGTGACCTATTGCATCCAAACACCACCTAATGTGCAGATTCATGAGCTCACTATCAAGCCCGTGGGTGAACGATTCTAAGATTAATATATTCGTATCTACAATTAAAATTACCCTGCAATTCAAATTTTTTAATCATCCAATTCGATAGAGCTGCAATCGATAGCATTTCAAGCTTGGTTAATAAATTGACAAAATTACAAGTTTTCGGTATATTTTTTTGATGGTTGTTCGGTATATTTTATCGATAATACCGCGGTCACGGTCACACTAGCCAGCAGTCGTAGTCGTGTCGGGATTTGTTTTTTAAATAACTTGTCTGTTTTAAGCCGTTAATTAATCAATTGGTATACTCTTCGAAATTGCAACGAAATCTTCAATATACTACATACTTCACGGTTCTCATTTGCCGTCGCGTTTCCTTGTGTGCTAACGAAAACTAATTGAATTACACACGCACACAGACAGCAAACACTCGTCTGGGCTGCGTCATTAGCTATTTTGGTCCAAATATTGAAATTATGGAACAACAACAGCAACAAATAGCTCCCGAAGTGGCCGCAACTCCAGCGCCGCTGCTGGATGAGCAACTGGACATGGATGACAGCATGAAGCACTGCTTCGAGAACCTCATTGTCATCGATGTGGGAGCTAATTTGACCAACAAAAAGTATAGCCGTGATCTGGATTCCGTCGTTCAAAGAGCAAGAGACGCAGGTTAGTGCTAGTGTATGGGTATGTCGATTAAAGAAGAGCAAGAATAAGACAAGACGGGGGGCTGGTGTGAATTGTCTTTGTTTTTGGGCGAGGCACACGCACTGAGAGAGTGCCAGAAGGTCAAGTGATAAGCAACATGTGTGCACAGTTCGCGTTCGCAGTTCTGTGTGTGTGTGTGAGAGTATAGGTATGTGGCATAGCCGTGGGCAAGTGCAACCCGTGCACCAATGCATTTTCGATGGCCTGGCTAAAACTTTCTCTTTGGTGTCTCTCTTTTGTGTTTTTCTGTGTGTGTTGCAGGTGTTCAAAAACTAATGGTACACGGCACTTCGGTCAAATCAAGCAAGGAAGCGCTGCGCCTTTCGCGCATTTATCCCGACATTATCTACTCGACTGCTGGCATACACCCACACGACTCAAAGTCCATTGTGGAGGAGCCGTCCACATGGTTCGACTTGGAGCACATCGCCCAGGCACAGGAGTGCGTCGCGGTGGGTCCATGCGGCCTGGACTACCAGCGCGACTTCTCCGAACCGGATGCCCAGAAACAGATCTTCGCCAAGCAATTGCACTTGGCCATTCGGCTCAATAAACCTCTGCTAATCCATGAGCGGTCGGCCCAGAATGATCTACTCGAAATACTCGACAAGTATGTCCACCTCCGAATGAAGCAAACATTTCTAACCCATCTCATTTCAGATTCGAGAATCTACCGCCTGTGGTTATCAGAGGTTTTATGGGCACAGCCGAGGAGGCGCTCAAGTATTTGGACCGCAGGTTCTACATCAGTTTGACCGGGTACTTGTGCAAGGACAAATCAGACACGGGCGTTCGCAGACTGCTGGACAATGGCACACTGCCGTTGGATCGATTGCTAGTTGAGACGGATGCACCGTTCATGTATCCAAACACCAGAGCTTCCAAGCTGCCGCAACATGTCAAGACTGCCATCACCGAACGCTCTTTGCTGTACTTACACAGGTAATGGGGGGAAGTCATTTATCTGACTATATTGAAGAATGGAATACTCTTGCAGATATTGTACCTTCCAACGGAATGAGCCGTGCAGTCTGCCAGCCATTGTGGAAATGATTGCAGCATTCATGAAGAAAACGCCCGATGAGGTGGCCTTGGTCACTGCCTTCAATGCTTTGAAGCTCTTCGGTTTGTCCTAAAAAGGGTGCATCAGCACCCGAACGAAAAAGTGTGTGCCTGCAGGCGTGTGCTTTGTAGACAGTTTCAACGAGCCTGAGATTCACGATAGACTCATATATGTGCCTTAACCACTTATCGAATTCAAGATGATCCGATCATCTTGATATTTCATTACACATAACGATACACACCCATATACACATACACAACTACGAACCCAAAACCCAACTCCCACTTGCATGCGAGAACTACGTATACGTATGCCATACTCATTCATACTGGTGCAAATTGGCGATCGAAATTTGCAAAAGTATAGCTTTAAGTTGTTGGAATTTCCTAAGCAGATGCTTTATTTACTTGAAACCCCCTAGAAAACGGTGCCAAGGTAGATGGTGCCATGTGAACGCAACGTGTTGGACTCTGGGGAGCAAATCAATTTGCCATGGGTCTGCGCTTCACGCTTCGAGGCGCGCGCCTCGAACTACAGATATCGCTTTCGAAAGCGATACTATTTAATGCTGCAGCTTGTCTTTGTTTCAATCTGTGCTTAGATCTAAGAATCATATTTATAGTTCGTGTCTCTTGTTAGTTTGTAGTCCTCTCTTTTTTTGTACATATTTATTCTTGTTGTTTATTGTGGACCTACCGAGGTCCGCCTACTAGCATGCGATATGATGATCAGGGTGATGATGAGATGATGATTATTCGAAACGTAATGTGATCATATTAAGAGCTAAAGCATATTCAATATCCTATGCCTACACACACATATTACATACATATATTTTGTTATATTTACATATACAAAACAAAACAAAGTTGTACTGGACTGATCAACTCACGGAGGTTGCATAAAAATCCGCTTTTGTGCCCATTGTTTGCACACACTCACACTATTTTCCATTTGAATAAAGAGAATTTGAAAATCAAACAAACAATCAAAGGTTATAATTGTATTTTTGGTTCGTCAGCACAGCACAGCGCATCTGTGTGGTGAGTATCTGTGTGTTTGTGCATATTTAAAAGCGTTGTATGTTTTTCAAGTCCTCGAACTGTTTCAACCCATTCAAGTTGTCCCACCATTGTTTGAGGCGGTGACGCAAGATGAGTGAAAACCAGGGGGTCAATGGGGCGCTAAAGTTCGCAACGGCATCGTCGATCTCGTCGCGTCTCAGAAAGCGCACCTCGCTGACCTCGTTGCTGTTGGGCTTCAGCGTCACATCCTTTTGCAGGAAGAGTATGTAGTCGATCTCGTGCTCACCCCAGACGCCATCGCCCGCATCGGCGTAGTGAATACGAGTGAGGTAGTGAAAGTCCTCCGGCTGGATTTCATCTGTTGGTATGCCTAGCTCGTAGTTCAGTCGCCGCTGGGCAGCCAGTCGGATTCCCAGGGCGTTTGCCTCCTGACGCTCCTGCTCTATCTCGTGAAGCGGGTGGCTGCAGCACGCGTTTGTATATGTATTGGGAAAGGTGATCTGCACTTGGCCAATGACGATACGTGTTTAATGGTTTCAGGGGAATTTCCACTGCTAACTCACCTTGTGAACAGAACGTCTTTGGACCAGCATTTCGCCTTTGGCATTGAAGAGAAAAACGCTGAACGCGCGATGCAGCTTGACGTCCCTAGTCTGTGGATGCACCCTATGGCAGTCTGCCTTGGATGCTGCACCTATAGCTCTGTCATTCTCGTCCACCACAATGCACTGCTCCTTCAAGGCGCTTGCCTGCAAGGGATCGTGTACTTCAGCGGTTGCCTCCTTCTGCTGACGACCTGGAGTGGTGGAGCACCTGCGCAGCGCCTGAAAGCGTGAAGTCAGGAGATTCAAGCGCGATGCCAACATTTTTGGGGATTGACTAGCTTCAAAATGTGACAAAACAAATAAAAAAGTGAAACTTCGTAATACAGCGCGAGCGTCGCATTTTGCAACACTGGTGCTCGGAAACAGCTGTTTCGCTTCACGCTGCAGCCCTGGAAATAGTGATACACAATTTGCTCATAATCAGTTTTTCGCTTCCGTCGCTGAAAATTGAAATTGTAAATACCAAAGTAATTACTCAAGTAATTACCACCGCAGACCCTGGAAAATGGTAAAACCACTGGTGGCGTTATGTTCGCACTGAATTGCACTGTTTGTACTCCCCCAGATACGCTTTATACTCATACAAAACCGCGCTGGTAAGACTCGCCTGGCGAAATGGTATATGAACTTTGATGACGACGAAAAACAAAAACTGATTGAGGAGGTGCACGCCGTGGTCACTGTGCGGGATGCCAAGCACACCAACTTCGTAGAGGTAAGACCAGAATGCCGATTGGGGGCGTCCACACACAGTCTCTCGAGAGTCGGAAGCCTAATCAAATGTTTTACCCACTCCACAGTTTCGTAATTTCAAAATTGTCTACAGACGATATGCGGGCCTGTATTTCTGCATCTGCGTGGACGTCAATGACAACAATTTGTGCTATCTGGAAGCCATCCACAACTTTGTGGAGGTGCTGAACGAATACTTCCATAATGTGTGCGAGCTGGACCTCGTCTTCAACTTCTACAAGGTCTACAGTGTGGTGGATGAGATGTTTTTGGCCGGCGAGATCCGGGAAACCTCACAGACGAAAGTGCTCAAACAGCTGCTTACATTAAACTCTTTGGAATAGATAGCCATCTCCATTAGAACGATGCATTCCCATAACCCCCCGTGTGGGTAGGCGTTATACCCGCTTATCGAATCTTCTTTCATATACTATATTATGTATGTATTATTATTATCTGTAATGTGTTCTCTATGCAAACAAAACTCTCAAATGTTAAATACCGTGTTTAGAATCAAATAATGTATTCTAAGAGATTATATCCAGGCAAGTGCATAAGGTCGAGTCGATTATTATCGTGGGTTGTCGGGTCGGGTCAGATAAAATGTATCCGCCCACACACATCTCTGCGTTGCTATGGAATTTCTCTGTGCCAAGCAACCCTGGTTTTGAAGCCTTTTCCAACACTGAATCCTAATGCCACTTCGTCATTTTTTCAGTCGCCATTGTTCTCGTTCTCGGCCCTCGAATTTGTGGAAATAAACTCAGTTTCCTATAAATTCGTTGCAATAAATACAATAGCGAATTACAAAAAACACAATAGCAATAGTGCAAGAGCAGTGCGCGTAATCCAGTGATACATTTACAGTAATCAGACCGCGCAAGTCGAAGAAACAGTCAACGCAAAGCAGCCAGGCAAAGGCAGAAATCAAATCGAATATTTGTTCGTGGCAAATATAAATTCTTGTGAAAAAGCCCCATAATGTCATCTGTGAATCCCGAATAGTAAGTTGACACACGCAGAAACTGCGCACCAGTGCGGTGGCGACCATTGACTTGTTTTTCATTGAAACATTTTTACACACTCGCGTTCGATAATCGTTGCTTTCATCATTTTTTTTTCTGCGACGTCATTTTTGCTACGTCCACTAGTCTCACATCCCAGCCCAGCCCACTCCCTTTTTTCTAGCATTGTTTAGCGCTGGCCTGGCCTGTCGTTGGCAACTCCAGAAGCACTCGAATTTAATAGAAACTAAAATCAGCCCTAAAACAGGAAAGGGATGTGCACACAGCACACGCATATACATTTGTGCACCCATACGAGCGCACTCTGGTGTCAAACTTTGTAAGCCACGGAGAAAATATTGTTGATTGTTGTTGCTTCTAGTCGCTTCTCAGCCATCACAGATTCGGCCAGTCAATCCAATCTATTCCCATATTCCACTCCAAGTACTGCCTGGAGCTCAGTTACTGACTGGACTGGATGGCGGACTGGCGGGCTGACTGGCTGATTTGTGGGGCGGATGAGTCACCTGCGTAGAGAGAGAGAGAGAGAGTCTCCTACCCCTCTCGCGTACGTTTTGTTGTTGTTTGACTGCTTTTGTAGTGTTGCTCTCTCTCCCGCTCGCAGTTTCTGACGTTCTCCGCTGCTACGTAATCAAAACCTCTTTTATTTGGCTTTAATTGCCTCGCTGCGCTCCTCTACTTGAAAACAATTGAACTTGAGAAATTTCCTGAGCTATGGAATCTCAGGTCCTCACACCACATCGCAACAGTTACGAGATGCATAGGTTTTTAAGCATTATCAAAGTGCTCGCTCGCTCGTTGGGTTTATAATTGGGGGTAGATGTTGGATACCCTACATCGATAAGATAACTCCGAACTCAGAATTAGTATATGTACAATGTGATGTTGTGTGTGCCCTCATGAATATTTAGACTTATCATGTTCCTCACTTCTACAGCGATTATCTCTTCAAATTGTTGCTGATTGGCGACTCCGGCGTTGGAAAGTCCTGTCTGCTGCTGCGTTTTGCCGATGACACATATACAGAGAGCTATATCAGCACAATCGGTGTAGATTTTGTAAGTATTTCATCGGAACATCAACAACACCTCGCTTGTGACTAATAAAACCTTTTATCTTGCAGAAAATTAGAACCATAGAACTGGACGGAAAGACCATTAAACTGCAAATCGTAAGCAAATCTTTTCTAAGTTCAAATTGAAGCTCAGGCTAAACTCTTGAATCTCTTTACAGTGGGATACTGCTGGTCAGGAGCGCTTCCGTACCATCACTTCTTCATACTACCGTGGCGCACATGGTATTATTGTTGTCTATGACTGCACGGATCAGGAGTCTTTCAACAATGTGAAGCAGTGGCTCGAAGAGATCGAACGATATGCTTGCGAGAATGTCAACAAGCTGCTGGTGGGCAACAAGAGCGATTTGACCACCAAGAAAGTTGTTGATCATACCACAGCTGCGGTGCGTATTATACGAGTGTAAAAAGTCCATTCTTATCTTATTTGATATATTTTTTGGTGGAATTTTGGCCACTGTAGGAGTATGCAGCTCAGTTAGGCATTCCATTTCTCGAAACTTCGGCCAAGAGCGCCACCAACGTGGAGCAGGCCTTCATGACGATGGCGGCTGAGATCAAGAATCGCGTCGGGCCGCCATCCAGTGCCACCGACAACGCTAGCAAGGTGAAAATCGATCAAGGACGTCCAGTGGAAAAACCCAATTCCGGTTGCTGCTGAATAACTCTGATTGTGAATCATTATTTTATTATACAATTAAACAAAATTTAAATATAATAAATTAAAACGGAAAACACACCACAACAACAATAATAAAAAGGAAAAAAACTAAAGCGTAATAACAAAACCATAATTATAATATCGGATTCTGTAATAGCTATAATGAATTATGATACGATGATACGATACGAGGATGCGTTTGAGCATATTGAGTAGAGATGCGTTTGTATGATTCCGATCCGTGGACACGAGAGTACACACACAAACACACATTAAGAAAATATATTTGTAATAGGTATGTAGCCAACAAAAATTCCACACAAAACATCCCCAATGCACCACCCCCATTCACATGGCTGGACACTGATACTACTAAACGTCTTTTTCTGTTTTCTGTTCCAATCCGTTTCTGTTCATACATAAGTAGTGCCAGACAAAACGGTGTAGCAATTAACTTAATCTAAATCTAACCTAACTTAAGAGAGTTACTTATCACAGCAGCGCGAAACGATACTAACTTAGATTACACACAAACACACACACACACACCATACGTGATACATAATGATCTGCGTTGCCTCTCTTGGAGCGTAATGCGAGGAGCAAGCAAGCGAGAGCCACATTTACATCGGATCTGCTCCTACCTAGACCTATCTACTATGTGTGTGTGTGTCTGTTTGTGTTTGTTTGAAACATATTTATCTCTGGCGCACGCCAAGTGCGCTCTCGCCCACTTGTCTCTGTCATATTCAAAATTGTATGTAAATCAAAACGACGAACACTTTTAGCATTAACAAAAGCAAAAAACAAATTGTGTGTATTTGTATTTTCGAGTGACGCGATGGATTTGTGTAGGCACATAATTAGTGTAATAATAATGAAGATTTACTGATGAAGTTTAATAAAATTGCGTGAGCGTAAAATATTCAAAGGTTTGGGAACAAAACACACATCCATACATACCATTCAGTTTCGGCTTTCACTTTCGCCCGAATTTAAAGTTTTTATTGCGCTTAAATAGAATAAAATAAAATGTGTACCCGATGCCTATAAAAGGTTTTGTTTTATTCCCCCAATAGTGAAGGCCGGAACACAGATACACGAAAAAACAAAAATGGTTTCAAAAACATTCTCTAGCGTTTATTGACTTCTTCTGAGGTACATCAGTCTTGACAACGAAATTTCTTCTAAATACTATGACTATTTGCTGTTGGAATTCAACTAAAATACTCGTACAATTCATTGGGGAGGGATGTGTTCAGGTTTTGCTGGTTCGACGCTCCTGCAGACAAGCGGTTGTCACCGTGGCCGCTGTGGTTCCTATGATAGCGGCACCCAGGATGCCGCGTTCACGCTCGCCTAGTCCGGAAATGGAGAGACTATTGCTTCGCCAGGCAGACGATGAGGTGGTGCGTTCCGTGCCCGATGAGGTGGATATGGAGTTGATCAGAAATGTGGCCTCGCGACGCAGCGTACGGTGAGGCGGTCGGGAGCTGGTGCCACCACCGGCCAAAGTGGCAGCCTCGTCGGCATCATTGGCCTGTCTTCGGGAAGTGTTTCGCATGCTTCCGCCTGTCGTCGCATGCTTCCTCTGCATGTGGTGATGGTGGCGATGATGATGGCTTGGCCGCTGCCCCAGGCATGTGAGCAGCAGCCGCCAAAAGCCACTTCGAAACTTGGACGACATCAGGTTGTAGAGGATGGGATTCATGGCCGAGTTTAGGTACAGCATGAAGCGCGAGAAGTACAGCAGATTGTAGTAGCCTGAGATGCCCAGGCGCTCCACATCCTCGGCGCTGGCCATGATTACCCACAGCGTGAATGCACGGAAGGGCAAGAGACACACAAAGAAACTGGAGACGACTGCCACCAGCATGAAAATCACCTGCTTGCGGTGCTTCCTCATGCCATTGCTCTGCTGATGGCTGTTGCCCTTGGAGCTGGGTGTCGCGGTGGCCGTGGCCGTGCCCGTTCCCGTTCCCGCCTGTGGCTGCGGCGAGGTGGGCCTATGAAAGGCATTATTCGGTCGCAGCAACTTGTAGGCAATGGCCGCGTACAGCAGCAGTAGTATGCCAAAGGGCAGAAAGAAAAACAGCGTAATGCTGCCCACAAAGTAGAAGATGGGCCAGAATCCATCGGCCGATGTGGTGCAGACTGGGGCATCCGTTCCGTCTCCATAGGGCTCGATGCTGTAGCTGGAAATGGCGATGATGGGACTGCAAGTATCATATATACAAATATTTATTTATGTGAGGATATTGTTCTTATTATTGCCGATGTTGTCTGCAAACTTTTCATGGCGCTGCGCGAGTGGGGAAACAAACAAATATTTAAAAACTACTCAACGGCGCGGCTGGGGCTAAAGCACTAGCAAAACTTTCAAAGGAAGCACTCAACTTAATCAGAACGGAAACGGATATGGCAACGTCTGCTCATACCCGTCATACATATGTGTACTCTGAAGTTCTAACTACTTTTGGTGGTGTTGTATTGGAAAATTACAGGATATCTGCATACGTACGTCATGATGCTACTTCTAAAGCTACGAAAACAAATTACAAAGCTACGTATGTACAAGTTGTATTCTATATTTACAGTTGATGGGCAGTTGTCCGATTTCCTGAACAATAAATTACATTTATTTGCTTACAGGCGGGGATGGGTTGGGTTGGGATGGGAGTCCTTGTCGCTGGGCGGGGCAGGGCAAATGTTGAAAATAACCAATTTCTTTTTGACCCATTGAGTGAGTTGTTGTCATAAAAAATTTATTTACTTACAAACTCGTCACTTTTGCTATATTTTATGTGTGCGTGTTCGTGTGCGTGTGCCTGCGCGTGTGTGTGTGGGTGTTTTTTTGTATATTTATAAGCCGAGTATATGTATGTATTGTTTAAATAATATATATATAAATATAGATTTACGTATTTATGCATGGGCTTAAGTGTGCCTGTATGTATGTACAACTGTGTTTGCACTTGGATTCTACATGTTAACATTTATTTTTATATTTTTGTACGGGCCGCAGCAAAGTAGGCAACAGTTTTTTGGTTCGTCCATTTGTCCATATTCTTGCCCTCGCCTCTGTGTAATGGCAGCCATTTTGGCATGGCCTTCGATTGGCAGCCTTAACGAAAGGAAACTATTTCAATACACCTAAATCATGTTTATCCGTCGCCTTGATGGGGTACCCCAAACGCATATTAAGCCATTTCCCATTTGCCTTTCCTCCAGCGCCTGTCGTTTAATGGTAGTCCAGGCCAGGACCCCAGTGCCCGTTCCATTCCCCTGTTGAGTTGTGCCCTTTATCCGTTCAATAGTTGTAGTGGTGTTTGCTGCTGTTTGGCTGTCGTTGCTGTTATTTATCTTTGGCACATTCATTCGAGTTTAATAGCCCGAAAAATTGATTGTTTTTTGTACGGAAATGTCCAAGGAGCAGGCAAGAAGACTGGCAGGACTGCCAGGACTGGCAGGACTAGCTGTCAACGGTTGAATGGAATCGATTATGGTTGGCAAAAAGCGTTCAAAATACAATTTGTGCAGGCGTGGCGGGTACCAGCACCAGGATCAGCGCCAAACCGCCTTCGACACATTCCTGACAAGTGAAGTGAATGTGTAAACGGGTTACAAGCGATTTTTCACGCCCTTCCCCCCCGCTCCGGTCATCTCAGGCTAGATTTTCAGCTTCCTTTGGCCCGGCCAGTGCCTCCTCGTCGAAACTGATTTGAGGCTTGTGGCGACGGGGATTGTGATTTGAATTCTTCAAGCCCATTAGCCGACTATCACTCTCGCGCCTGGCCATCCGTTTGCCAATGCCCGAATGGTGGAGCATGGCCATGGCTTCCAGATCACTGCCGCACGGCAACTGCAGCTCAATCTTAAGGCGTGTCCGGCTGATGTCCTCGCTGCAGCGTCGATTGGAGCTGCGTGACAGAATGCTCGAGCCAGTGGCCGCCGTGGCATTGGACGAGTTGGTGTTCGTGTTGGTGCCCAGGCCCGTGGATATGGTGCCACTGCGTCCGCGAGTGCCGCCAACACCGTCGCTGCTCCGTCCCAGCGTGAGCAACTTCAACAGGAATCGCCCAGCATCGTGGCAGATCCGGGCAAAGCCTCTGCGAAACTTGGTGGACATCAGGTTGTAGAGTATGGGATTCATGGCCGAGTTAAGGTAGAGCATCACGCGGCAGAAGTACAGCAGGCTGTAGTATCGCACCAGGCCAAGCTCGTGGAGCGATTGGTCCGTGCTCAGGATGATCCAGAGGGTGAGCACACGGAAGGGCAGCAGGCAGACGAAGAAGGAGAGAACTACGGCGCCGAGCATTAGGACCACCTGCTTGCGGGCCTTTAGGCTCAGCTCCGGCTTGGTGGGTCGGGCGCGCAGCATGGTGCTCTGATTGGAGACGAGGTTCTTGGCTATGATGCCATACAGCACGACCAGGGTTAGGAATGGCATGACGAAGAACACGGTTATGGTCATCAGAAAGAAGGCAATGGTCCAATCGGTGATGGCCTGCGTGAGGCAAACGGGCACCGATGATCCATCAATATACTCGGCCAACTTGTACTCGGCCACCCACAGTATGGGGCTACATCGGAAATTATGGGTGGGAGAGAGAGGAGAAAAAGCAAACAAGAAACGTAATCAGGCTGGCGGGGTCATGGGGAGGCGGATAATGGATGGAAATGGCTGAAGAATAAACATGAAGAGTGGGTGGAGAAGAGAGCGCAGTGCCTTGAGATGTGATGACAATGATGATGAGAGTTGAAATGATTAAAATATTCGCGAGATCCTAACTTGTTTTACCAGAAATATTTGTGTACATTTAAGAACCAACTGTCAAAGCTCATGTCCTGCCTTTTTTTCTTTCTTTCTGGCTAGACAAAGTAATGACAGTCAACAGGCAGGCGTTGGTCTGATCCGAACGTGCAGGACGTGCGTCGCTGTAGAGACGTCTTGGGTGGTGCTTGTGGCATGAATGTGTTTAAAATGTTTGCTAGAAGGCCTTGGGGCGGCTTCTTGGGGGGCGTAATTAATGGGTAGACCGGCCCGAAGGCAGCCAGATCCCATGCCAGCCATGACCCTACCCAAGACCACCTCCCTGCGGTGGGGTCAGTGTTCGCCTCGAAAATGTTCTGTTTATTTCATTGTTATGAACGCGGCAAGATTTGCAAAATTAAAAAGGGTCGCCAGCGGTCCCTTAGATGGAACTGAGAACTCTGAGGACTGTGCCTGGGAATGTGCCCATGAAAATACAATAATAAAGTGTCAATGAAATGAAATTCCATGATAGCGGACATCGGTGCTTATTAAAGATGACAGGACGCTGATAACGGAAGCGCCAAGCTGGGGACAAAAGTGTGGCCGGCAAGGAACTTGAGAGCCGCCCGAAAATGAGAAAGAAAAGCGCAATGACCAAAACCAAAGCTGATGGGAGATGATGTCCATGATGAGTAGGATACATGGGATGGCAGTAGGAGAGTAAAAGCGAGAAGAAGAAAGTGAAATAGATACGAAGAGACACAGGGAGAGTGGGTCAACAGTCGATGTTTAGCATGTAAATGGACACGACACGCGAATGGCAAACAAAAGGCCAAAACACCAAACACCAAAAACATTTGCAGCCTCCACGAAAAGGAGACAACAAATCGAAGGAAACCCAAAAAGAAGAGAGATGGAGAAAGAGAGACACAGAAATAGAAACAAAACACAAATGATTAAAAAAGACAACGATTGACACTTATAATTAATGAGCGAGGAACTTAATGCTTGGCTGACCAAAATGAATAAATTCGAAATTAAAGCCATAAACTACGCGAAGATATAGAATGTAGGATAATACAGTGCAGATGTGTAAATATATAGAGAGATAAAGAGAGCAAAAGAGACAACATGCAATGAGAAATATGTCAAAAATTATAATGCTAATATTTAATTCAAATGACTTAAGATAACCACACCAAAAAGAACACACAGCAACAGAACAGAGTTCATTGCACTGTCCAGACTGTCCAGCGAGGGCCTTTGCTTACCTCGTAAAAAGCGCAGCAATGCCCCAGGCCAGTACGCAGATGAGTATGGCACGCCCCTTGGTACAGACATAGCCGGCCTTTAATGGCTCACAGATTGCGTAATAGCGCTCGAATGAGATGGCCAAGATGGTCAGTACGCTGGCATGGGCCACAGTCAGCTCAACGAACGGCACGGCCTTGCCTGCGCAGAAGGGAGAGAGCAGAGGACAGAGAGTTCAGTTAATTAGGCTGGGGAAAATAAACAGAGCCGAACCGGCAGGACTTCGAGTATGGAGTATGGAGTGTGGAGTGTGGAGTATCTGTGTGCCACTTACACATCTCGTGGCCAAGTACCCAGGTCTCTGGGCGCGTATTAACCTCAACGAGCACGGTGGGCGTGCAGACGAGCAGAACGAGCAGATCGGCAATGCTGAGATTGGTGAGGAAAATGTTTGTGGAGTTGCGCATATCCTTTGTCTTAACAATCACAATGGGCACCTGCAAAGCCATTAAAGAGTGAAAAAAAATGGTGGAGTAGAGTAAAGGTTCCTTTGATGAACTCACCATCACATTGCCCACAACTCCCATCAGCATGATGGCTATGCAGAAGAACATGGCGGTTGTGCGTATATACGGCGGAATCTGTGGCAGCATCGGCTCAGTAGCCTCACCGGCACTGGGCGTGGCATCGACTGTGGCACTGACTGCTGCTGCACTGGAATTATCACTATGGATGCTGCTGGTGTGGGCGGAATCGTAGCCGTGGGCTGGAATACTATGAGTTGCGTTGTGTGCGCCATCGATGCCACTAGGAGCGCCACGGGATAGCCCAGCCTGCTGGGACGTCGTCCTGGCTGCGGTTGCTGCGGCAGTGACTGTTGGGAATGCTGTTGCAGCATCATCTTGAGCCTGGATTTGGGGTAGCAGCAGCAGCAGCAGCAGCAGCAGCAGCAACAGCCAACAAATCCTTAAGCCTATGCCAATGCTGGTCAGCCGTGGATGCTGCCCTGTCCTGGTACTGGCCACAGCGACGCCGTGGCTGCCCCTCACCAATGGCAATGTCGGTGTCGTCGTCCTGCGTCTCTGAATGTGAATTACATGGGCCACAGTCGCAACATTATCGCTGCGAAGCCTTCGAGTGTGGAGCAGGAAGCTACCGCCTGCTGTTCAATTAAGTAGAAGCGGTATGGAATCCGAATCCGCAGCCGCAGCCGCAACCGAAACTCAATCCGTTGTAATCACCCCTCTGGCAAGTTTATGCGAGCACTTAAAGAGGCGCTAATGAAATTAAGATGTCCAACGGCCACCCAGATACGCCACTCCACTGGTGTCTCCGTTGTCCGTGTCCCTGTTCCGGCAGCATTAAACAAATCAATCAGTGGGGGCTTTGCGGTTGTCGTCCGGCCACGCCTGAAGTGGCAAAAGAGTGGCAAAGGGATTAGTGTTTAAGTACCGCGCAGTGGGTAGGCCAGCCCAGAATCAGGAAATAACCGGCCATTGACCAGGCCAACTAACTAACTAACGATAATGAATGAAAAGTTCATTAGGCGCTGTCATTTACATAACATTAGAGCATCCGGTAGACTGAGCAGCCGCCATAAACAAGTTCATCACCCCAGCCCAGCCTCGATTCTTGTCACATGCCGCACTTGAGCGGCACTGGACAGTGGCAGGACATGGCCATGGCTTACAATTATTAGCAGGGGTATAAATAAATGAATCTAAATGGTAGTTGAGCTGTCTTGAAATCAACAAAATTCCCATATTAAATTTTCATTTAAAGCAAATAGCCTTTGGCGGCAGCATTTCTATTATTGTCTAAACAAATTTGAACTTAACCATCTGTCGCACACTTTTTGGAATTTTTTCTACGAGCCACTGTCGCCAGCCAACATACGGCGATTATCACCAGAAGCTGCTCAAGGGCTTATGACAATGGAGATGGCGATGGGCGGTGAGCGGTGGGCGGTGGGGCGATGGCGTCTGCTGCTCATCTCCATGCTGCTGTCCCGTCAGCCAAATGGCTTTATTAAATCCCCATTTCTGCGACGCGCAACTCGCTTAATTACATTATGCTCGTACAAACACACTCAGACTGACACAGCAAACATTTACATGGAAAGTCAGGCCATCGCGATGTGGGCCACCCGCTACTCAGTTTGTGGCATATAAACACCCGCTTCCGGTGGGTGTCTGTGTGTGTGTGTGTGTGGGGACACAGCGCCATTTTGATTAATTTGGTAAATTCATTATGCGAAGACCATATTGGCCTGGCTACCGATATCTCCTTCTGTTCCATTTTTGTTTGCATTTCCCTGTCGGGTGCCTGGTTCTTGTCCTCACAGACACGGGCCAAGCTGTGCACTTTGTTTGCTGTCCAGCCAGGACCTCTGCATGTTCAAAGTTTGTCTTTTTGTTGAACTTCCTGCTGCTGGCTGGGGTTCAATGAACCCAAATGTGACACAACAAGGCAGTTTTGTGTGTCACATTTGGCTTAAAAATGAGACTTTAACGATGCTGACATTGGTTTGAATTGGCCACTCGCAGGCCGATCTGTTCGGGCTTGACCATCTATTGGCCATTCAGTTTGGCATAATTGTTTTTGAAACTTTTGAGTTTCTCGAGTAGAAAGACAAATGAAACGTTACTAAACTTTCAATGGAGTGGAGAGCCACAGCAACTGTGGCTGCCACAAACATGCGCCGCCTGCATGTAAATCGGAAAACGGTTTATGGTTACAGCCGCAGCAGCAGGCCCAACTGCACGACAACATGAGTGTCATGCGGCCATTTGATGGATAACTTGTGGCCTATATACTACATATATAAATGTTTCTATATATATTTGGTATAATTTTCCGGCACAGATTTGAATAAGGTTCTCCGGGTTCTCTGGGTGATAATGGAAATGTTGTGTGCAAGCAAAAGTGGAGCTCTCCTCTCTTTGTGTGTGGCAGAAGTGTAACGTTTTTTATGGTATTTAAGATTGAACGGAATTTATTGCTGACACCCTAATAAAATTAACATTGAAATGGCAATTTGAGGCAGCAATAAGAATCAGCAGCAGCAGCCAACGCAGCATCAGCAAAGTCCTGGCAAGTCCTGGCAAGTTGTCACACTCTCCTCACACGCATATCTAATCAATTTATCGTTCAATAATAGTCAACTCGGGGGAAATACTCGTACATACAACGAACGTATGGGAAAGGACCGTTTCATCCACTTTGACAAATCGCTAAGCAACAACAACAACCAAAAAAAGATTGCTAAAAGTGAGGGCACAACAAAATTAAAGCCCAGCCGCCAAATTGATTTCGAACATTCGACGCTTCTACTCTGAGACTTCTTTAATAGCCCAACCACTGGCTCTGATGGGGAAATACATTTATAGCCCAGATCCTCTGCCTCTGTCGTTGTTGTGGCTTTTTTTTGCCAGGGGGTGCCACTGCCACTCGCTTAATAAATTGAAATGACTTCGTAATTGTGTTTGTGACTCTGGCTAAATTAATCTAACTAGTTCGCATGCCGCCGCAGCGCTCGTGTGGAACCACAACAACGACTAGAGACTCCACGTTCAATCCAACAAAAGGAGCCGAACAAAGCGCCGTAAAACCAAAAGCTTGTTTTTCAATTGCAGCCACCGAAAGTGGTTCGGTTGCTTCCCTCTGCGGTAGGGGTGGAAAATTGTTTTTGGGTAAAAACCCTCCGCTGCGAACTGACATGTCGATGTCCCATGGTCATGTCCCCTGTAATTGACCAATGAATGGCAATTAAGTAGGTCTGGAGCTGTAGCCCTTTTGGCAAACATTGGGTTCAAGTGGAAAGTGGAAGCTGTACAGCTCCACACAGCTAGGAATTTAAATGAAAACTGTCGACTGATTCGCTATGCTGTGGAGTATTTTTAAATTACACTTTCCTGCCTTAGATTCCAGTGGAGCGCCGGCCCTTGGCTGCTGCCCATTACTCTCTCTGTGCTTTGTGGCAGACTTGCGTTGCAGGCCAAGCCAAGTCAAGGATGTTGGCCTCCCAGCCCCTGCTATGTGCTCTTTTATTTATGCGACTCCGCAGAGCTTCCGTTTGCCGCATATCTCGCTCTGTTTGTCTGCTCCTGTAACTGTTTGTTTCAGCGGACACTCGTAAGAAAAACACGTACCAACAGTCGCGGTCTAAATACTCAAACAATGGCCATAGATCTCTATATCTATATCCATATCTATATGGCTTTGTGTATGTGTGTGCTTGACGATTGTTGCTGCTGCGAATGGGTTGGTCGTTCAAGTAATGTTTTTGTAGCATTCTTTATCTGGCGGAGCAGCAGAAGAATGTTTTAAAGGCTCGCTGCTGCTCATTCGCCACGGTTGAATGTAATTTTATACTTTTTCCTCGAAGCTTGTTGCTGCTGCTGCTGCTGCTGCTGTGTGGGGCAGTGGCAGTGGCTTAGCAGTGTCCCGTCCTGGCATTGATAAGGCATTGGCCAAGAGCAGAGAGAGAGAGAGAGAGAGAGAGAGAGATGCCAATGGGGCACATGGACAAAGCCGCGGGCCGGGAAACTCTGCAGCTGCTGTCTGCTACTCCATGGACTCTTCCCTGTCCCTCTGCCTGGCTGTTGTTTTGTTTGCTTATTTGCTTTCCCTGGGAATTTATACAGCCAACACACAAACAGAACGGACAGACAGACAGACAGACACAGAGGCAGTTGGACAGTTGTAGGAGTGCCATATATGGTAGGAATATGTAGCACAGATAGCACTGGCTATTGTTTTACGATTTCGTGTATATTGTAAATAGAACGACAAGTGAATGTCACGTAAAAGCTGAACTTTGGGATACCCTAATAGAGAGAGATACGAAATAAAATTCTAGCACATTTGGAACAACGAAGGAAACGCAACACCGCAGAAACAAATATATAATCAGATCGAAAATTACAGATCTCTAACCTGCCATAATTCAACTGACTCTCTGCATTAAAAATAATATTAAACCTCCCATCTGTTCCCAATTCTACAGCTAAGGGAAACTCCCTCTTTTACCCTTGGTTTAGTTTCCCACAATTCAGCGCTAAAGACACTTTAATTGCTTCGATATGAGGAGTGAACATATATGAGTGAGAGCATGTATGCCGCAGTGGGGTATCATATGGCATTTGAATATGGACCACTAATGCGTATTTAACATTCGACTGACCTTGAAACTTATCGCATTTCGCACATACCCTGGGGCATAGCTTTCAGTTGTGTGTCAAGGGAGAATGCAATAAGGAACGCACAGACCACATTCACACATACGAAATACCGAGTCCTAACTGCAGTGGAAGGTGCTATGTTGGCTTTGGTATGTGTGTGTCCTTTGCAGTGCCATTTTGTTCCCTGTCATTTCCGGTGCGCTTATTGAAAAATGGCCCCTCGCGCGCTCACTTCCGCTGGCAGTTATTGAGCAAAGTGCGTGGCAGGGCATCGTTAACTTGGCCCTCACTCGCATCCTGCCAACGAGTGGTTGTTAAACAAACTTGGGCGTTGCCCCAAACGCGTTTGACATTGCCGCTCCACTTCGCTGTGCCCGCTGCACTCGTCCTGCACTTGCCACGCGCTTTTCTTTTAATTTATCATCGCGGGGGAGGCACCGCCAGCAAACGCCCTCCGCCTGTTCGGAGGCGTTTCCCACTGCTGACGTCAGCTTGGAGGATAATTCACTTGAACCTCTCGAATGTGTGACGAATGGGGCATGGGGCGTGGCATCAAGGG